AGAGTTAATTCGTTAGAAATATGTTGAACGAAAATAAAAGCATTTGCACTATTTTTTTAGTTTTGTGACCGAACTTCAGTATTTTGATTTGGGGTTACTTTGATAATTCTCGATGAATGTAGAAAAAAATGAGTGAAACTCTAACAATGTAGTTCTTTATATATGAAACTTGGAATGAGTATATAATCAGAAAACATCATAAGCAATAAGATTAAAACATTTAATTTGTGATGGCTGTATCGGAAATCTATTTCATAAGTGATGGTTTGAGTGCTTTTTCAAAAAGGCGAAAAACACGAAAATTGTTTTTTAATATTTTTGTAAAATATGTAGCACATACTATACAAAAACTATATACGATTTCAACGGAAATACCCTACGCTATAATATGGAACCAATGTTTCTAGGTTGGAAAAAGCACAGCGAGTAAATTTATTCTTTATATTATACAATCAAAGTTACCCGCATTATCAAAGATACCCCGTTTTACGGTACCTTCAAAATTCGAAACAATTATCTTTAAAGATGCCTTATGCTTGATACTCTTCGACTAATGTTTGCATTTCCTAACCGTTTTTGGCTACCCATCAATCGAGAAATAGTCGATGGCTCTTTCCGGTAATTCCTAGGCAATCGAGAAACATTTTTTAAACATTATTACACTTCCGGAAGTTTTTATTAATTCTTAAACTTCCTGAAGTTTTGTCCAACTATCCTTGGAATATTCTTACACCATACCTTGGAAGCTTCATCAGCCTTTGCTCGAATGATTCTTTCATCTTCTCCTGGAGCTTCAAGGATGCTATCAGATTTTTATTGCGGATCCACACTAGCTGCAAGCACATTTAAGAAGTTCTGAAACTTCTGTAAATTATAGACAAAGTTTCATAACCTTCTGTTAAAATTCAAAAACCCGGAAATTTCAGAAAAGTCCAGAGAATTCCAGTGAACTTAAGGTAACATCATAAATATTTTGGAAACTTCACAAGTCCAAAGAACTTCAGGGAAATTTAATGGTTTTCAGGAAATTTAGTGAAGCTCAGGACAGATCAATTAATTTCAATGAGTTCCGAAAAACTCAGGTAATTTTCGAAACTTCAGCAATGTTCATGCAAATTTAGGAAACATTTAGTTACATGAAAATTAGATCATTGTGAGAACATTTTATGGGAAGAGCTTTTTAATGGCAGTGTCGATAACTTTTAAAAATTAAAAAAAAATCGGGAAGATCAGAGAACTTCAATGATGTTACAATAAATTCAAGAAAATTGTGAGAGCACTTATGAGATTTCGTAATCTTCAAGAAAGTCCAAAGACCTTCTTAGGTTATTAGAGATATTCCGGTAGTCTTATTATAATCAGGGAAATTCCGTGCGCTTCGAGGATGCCCAGAGAACTCCAAAACAGCTCCTAATTTCAGGAAAATTACAAAAACTTTTAAGGAATTTTGAGGAGTTATGGAATATTCCATTCCTGTATTTCAGGAATGTCCAAAAAACATCAGGAAAATTTCGGAGTTTCAGGGATATTTTTTTTAATATCAGGAAAATTTTCTGGATCATTAGAAGGAATCTTTCATTCGGAATTATGTCATTGTTTTTTTCAACTGTTCGGTAAGCGCTCTGGCTTCCGACTTTCTTCAGATGTTTCTTTCAATCTACCTTAGGAAGTTTCTGCCAGCGTCTCCAGGAAGTTTCTTCCGTCTTCTCCAGGAAGTTCAATTAATTCTCCCAGAAATTTCTTTCGTCTTCTTCTGGAAGTTTGACCATAAGCCAAAGATTTTTTTGTTCGACTTCTATTATAAGGTTTTTCTGAGCTTCTTCTGGCTTTCCCTGAAAATGGCTACTTCTGGAAATTTACTTCCGGTTTCCGAAACTTTTCTGGCTTCCTATGGATGTAACATCCGATTATTTTCCGATAATTTATTTAAATTTTCGCCACAAGTTTCTCAATTCGTGTCTTGAAAGTTTCCCGGAGGTTTTTCCAGCTTTCTCGAACTTCATCCAGGAAAGCTTCTTTCGTCTTTCTCTGGATGTTTTTTCAGCTCCATTCAGAAGCTAATTCAAACATTCCCCGGAGTTCTCTTCCGGAATTTTCCGATCATAGTTCAAAAGCTAAACTTTTGCTTTGATTAACGGCTTTCTCAGTCTTAAAACACTGCAACGACTACAATGTAATCTGCCCGACATTTCGGCCATAGGTTGTGGCTTTTTCATGGGAGAATATTGTTTGTAGTTATTGTCAATAGTTTAGTCGTTGTTGTTGCTGATTTTCTATATTTTCGTTCATTTAATGATATTTAATTGAAAAAAAAACACTACTTGGTCACAATTTTTAACACTACTTGAGGACAACGATAATTTTAAAAATTAAATTAAAAAAAAATAAAGTGTGTTTTAAAGCTGAGAAAGCCACCAAATAAAGCAACTCCCCTCAAATCCCAGTCGTCACCATCGTTAAAATTTTCGCTTTCAAAAACGGCAATAATATAAAACTAAATAAATAGTAAATACCGATAAATACCGACTTTTTAATACCTTTGACACCGATAAGCTTTAAAACAATCTGGCAACGCTGGTTGACATGCTCAATCCTTCGCACAAGTCGTCATTCCGTTAACAATCCTGTACTCGTTTATCAAAATAGTTTTGTGCGCCTTTGGTCCAATCGCTATGTATTGTTTAAACCTTTTAATGATTCTATTAGCCTTGGCATTAAGATCAAAATTTGAAAAAAATTAAAACTGCAATTTTCGCTGAAAATCTAGATAGAGCTGGAATTAGGGCGTAACAGCCTTTGTAAACAATGACTTCTCTCGATGATTTCTACGAATTCAAGGCACGCCTACATAAAGCAACATATCCATCGAGTAGGGGAAGTCTTCCCCTAATCGCTGGGGATGTCGATTTGCCAGGGCGAGCAATGACTTTCGAGAAATCATCGAGAGAAGTCAATGTTTACAAAAGCTGCTTCGCCCTAAATCCAGCTCTGTCTAGAAATGACCAAGTTCAACGTACTCGCAACGGTAACAGTAAAGTGACTATAACAACATATAAGGGCTTACAAAAATACTTACTTGAAATAGTCAAAAATTGTAACGATGCCTTCAAAATATACAAAAACGTACTGCACAAAATTTCAGAAAGGTAACTGAATAAAAGATGATACCAGTGCCTTGAAGAATATATTTTCTTTGGTTTGTATTTTTAACCTGTAAAGAAGAGCATGACGCAAAACATTATTACAACGATTCCTACAGGGTTCAGAAATTTGGAAGAAATTGACCGAGTTGCTGGGCAAACACAATCGCAGTGATACCCATGTTGGTAGTATGGAAGCGTGGAAGAATTTCAAAACCAGGAAGGCTATCGACGAAGAACTGGACCACCAAAAAACAGCTATGATTGCTGCTAGTAAGGCAAAGCGGCTACAAAATCGCTATATAATGGAACATTTAATCGATTTTGTGCGCATACTTTGCAAAGGTAGCCGACCACTTCGTGGACATTCCGAAGGAGCGGAAAGTGTGCCACCCAGTTGGTGGCTAACTACGATCCTGCGCTGGAAAAACACTTGGCGGAAGGTGCGAAAAATTGCCAGTATACAAGTAACCGTATTCAAAATGACATGATTACATCGTTGCACAATGTAATGTAAAGAAGATGAACCAAAAGTGAGAGGAGGACAGCACCATCTACCACGTACTTTGGAGTACTCCCCATCCCAAGATTAAATGCACCATAGAAAAAAATTGCCCCTCCTTAACAAGATTCCTATGCACGCTAATGCTAAAAACTTCACTGATATGTCTTCACTGTCTAAAATCTCTCTATTGTTCGCTTGTTCGATCGACGCATGAGTATTGTTCAGTGGTTTGGAACCCAAACTACAACAACGGTGCCTAGAGAATTGAATCTGTTCAACGTCGCTTTCTTCGCTTTGCGTTGCGTAGATTGCCTTGGAATGATCCGTTTCGATTACCCAGTTACGAAAGCCGTTGTCAACTTATCGACCTAGAACTTCTCCGGGCTAGAAGAGACACAAGCAGAGCCCTAACCGTGGCCGATATCCTGCAAGGAAGGACAGATTGCGTGGCTATCCTGAGGCAAACTGACCTGAATGTTCAACCCCGACCGCTTCGTTATAACCTTATGTTAAGACTGCCTCTACGTCGTACAAATTATGGAGCACACGGTGCGATTTGCAGACTGTAGAGAACATTCAACAGAGTTGCAGTTTTCGACTTTCATCTCTCCCGTGATGCGCTTCGTCGAAAGTTTTCTTCTGTTTTCCGGGAGTAACTGACTATAAGATATATATTTTTTGATGTTATGACCATGCTTGAATTTATTTTTTTACCATATATGATAAGGTTAACATCATTGGGGCTTCATCCAGCCTGTTGATGTAAAACAACAATAAAAACAAACAAGGAACAGTAATCCATGAAATTATCAAAACAGCCTGTCCAATTTCATTGCATATGATTTTCTTATCGTCCTCAATGTTTATATTTGAATTTTGCACCACCACCACACCACAGACAAACAGACGTAACTCTTTCAGTGTTTCTTAGAAACATTGCACCTCAAAAAATAGGACCTCAGTAACGACATCTCGCGAGCTTTTCGCGAAAACAAGCTAACCAGCTAAATTGCAAACAATGTTGCATGCAAGGTAAACAGAATACATATAGAAACATCAAAGTGACCCGATGCCACCCTAATAAAAATTGTATGGTTAATTTGCTTAACGACGTGTTCTGGGTATCATCCAAACCATTTGTGGAATAGTTCAATGACTTGGGTTATCGTTCGTTTATGGTTATTTTTTATTAGGGCAGCGCTGCGGTGAGTAAGTCGCGGAAATGATAATATTCAAATCAATCGCTAAACGTGTGAACGATGATTCAGAATGAAGAGTTACGTCTGTTTGTCTGTTTGTCTACAATGTCCACACATTGCACATTGTAGCACCTCAGGCCGGTGATAACAGATAGAATATTAATAACTTCACAACATGGGGGATTTTCTCACGATTAATTAATCAGTTCCATGGAAGAAAACCACTTTTGTTTTATTGAAAATACCTACTATCAACTCCACTGTCATTTGTATTAAAAGGCATTCATGACTTACCCGCCGTCTTGCGTGCAGTCTGAGTTTGGCCGATAGTTCCTTTCTTCGTTCGACTGCCACTTCCCTGGGCCGTGCGAAACGTAATGCATCGTTTGTCCAAAAATGCAATCAGATCCTGTTGGAGTTTTTAAAAAAATGGATCATTCGTCACACATTCAACTGCTCACATCGTCATCACACTTACATTGCTTTCATACCGAAGTCCAATCTCTTTCAGGTGTCCGTAGACCTCGTCCAAGTCGATTGGCTGATAGCGAAGCATCTGCCGGCGGAGGCGCGGATCGGCACTGACCATATTGTGGAAGGCAATATGCAACGGGACGGCGCACCAGAATGTCTGTGGATGGAAAGCGATTTAGCAATTATTGTAAGTGATGGTCTATGGAATTGCTTTACCTTCTTTCTGGGCTTCGAAGGCAGTATGAATTCTTCATCTTCCATTTCCGGAACGAAGTAGGGTTGGCTTGGCAATGGAGTGACACCCTCAGAGACATTGGAATCTCCGCATGGTTCCGGTTCTTCCACCTCGACAATATCTACCATCGGATGCAGCTGGTTGTAGATGTGCGTCAACATTTTCACCGCTTTCGGTCGACTCAGTTGCTTCAGGCCGAACTTGAACAGCTCGCGGTGCAACAATGGCGACGCCATTCCGTCGAAGTCCGGCCGCGGGCTCACGCTGTCCAACCGAATCTCAATACCAGCCGATGGAGGCGCAGGATCTTGGGCGAGCTCTTTGAACTTGTCGTCGAAACAGTCTTTCCGTTTTGCCATTGGCAATTTTCCAGGCGACTTGCGCTTGCCCGGGCCTACCAGTACGGAATCGGACCTCGTCCTTCTGATCGGACTACCACGTGCTTGCAGTTGATGTCGTTGCTGGAACTGGGTGCAAGTTTGCTTCGCTTGACTTAGTATCTGCTCGATTTCCAAATCTAACTGCTCCGATGGAATCGGAGTCGGTTTCTCCTCCGACTCATTTTGCACGTCGTCCCCGTCCAGTTGATTATCGGGAAAGTCTGGAACTTCGTAGTTTTGCATATAGTCATCCAAACCGATTTCGTTCGCTTCATCACAGGTCGACTGTTTGCTTAGCGTGGGAGGAAGGTTGAACTTCTTAACGAGACCATCCAGAAATGCCATCGTATTATCGGCTCGGTTGGACTCGTTCGGAACATCTGCTGGGCCAGATCCGAAATTTTCCAGCTGCTCGTTCGAAACGTTCGCCTCGGAGCTCAGTCTTTTGAAGTCTTCTACGTTAAAGTACACTTTTGTGTTTTCGAGATCTTCCTCGGTCTTGGCCAAATCTGATGGGTTGAGCGGTTCCGGATCAACAACCAAAGCTTCTTCAGGGACAGGCACCGAGGCAGACATAGGAGACACATTGAAGACGACAGAGTAATCCTGACGGATGGAATAGTTTACTTCGTCGTCGGATATGACCAGCACATCTTCGGGATCATCACCAGTGTCAGCGGAAATGAGAGATGTCCCGCTGCGATCGGACGACTGATTCTCAATCGATTCCTCCGCAGGCACTTCCGGTTCAGAAAACGCTTTCTTCACCTCATCACAATCGTTATCCAGCTCGATGGTTTCCACTTCGCTCAACGGAATTCGATTTAGTTTGCCCTTGATCGCCAGTGCGTGAAAGGAAAGATCTTTACCCGGCGTTGGAAATAGCTGATCGTCGAAACGTTGCTCTTTCTCTTTGATGCCGCTGCCGATCGCGCTGGAGGAAGTTCTCTTGCACGCTGTCGGGGCGTTTTGATTGCTCTTGTCCGTGTCATCTTCGGTGGAACTGGGCGATAACACGACCACCAGCGGATCCATAACGATGGAACTTTGGTGGGACTCGGAACACGGCCGTTCGCTAGGGTTGTTTTCTCCCGGTAAAGAAGAAGACATCTTCGCTGACGATGAAACAATAGAAGCGAGAAAAAGAGCATAGGACACAATGGAGTTATGGTTTGGTCACGTGGCAGTGGCGATGGGAAATTACACAATGTGTCATAACCTTTGGAAAGCGTTAACTAATCTTCCACAGATTGCATACATTTTGGGGTATCAAAACAGTGATTAGTGCCTAAATGATGCCAGTCAGTTGACCGCAGCACCGACAAATCGTCATGAATGGATACACGGCCGTTGAATCCAACTCAAATTTAAGTAAAAACGCAGGTCACTCGAACACAACCTGGTCTGGTGTATAGACCAGGTGACTTGAACAGGGAGGAACAGTTGCATTCGACTCAATTTTGCAAAAAGAGCTGTTCCAGGCTAAATAGCAAAATATAATGTTTGACTCGACCTTCACCGATTTGCATGAAACTTTGCATAATTCAAGCTGAACAATGAATGAGTTAAATCGTTTCCGATTTTCCGCATATTCGAGCAGATTTATGAGAAAAACTGATTAAAATTTTACTCATTCACAGAGTAACTTTACTTTTTGCTAATTTGAGTCGTATTTGAGTCGAATTCGACTCAAATACACTAAACAATAGCAAACTGAAACAGACTGTTTGAAAAATTTAAAAATCAAGCTTACGGTGGCCAAATGCTGACCACTATCTAAAATTGGTCAGCCCACAATTTATTTTTAATAATTGTAAAAAAGGACTTCAGACAGTTGCAATTTTGGCAATCATCCACGGCCCATAAAAAATTTAAAAAATTGTTTATGGGCAATTGACTACGCAGGGGGAGGGTGGCCCCATATGTTTCACATCGGATTAGCGTAAGAAAATGATAAATATGCTATATGTTTTTTTAGTTCCACAGTTTGTCTACACATTTGCTAAACTTGCCCCATCATCATATTATCATAGAATATGAATATATTCTAACACCATGAAATAAATTACGACCCGAGCTTACATAATATGTAGTTCCATATTTGTACTATATTAATTCAACAGTTCAAATAATCATTCCATTCAAATTCAGCAATTTCAGATAACAATCAATCTACAATAAGATATTGAAATCGACAAAGGAAACGCCACAAAGAATTTAATGATAATTACCTTCCTCGCTGGAGTAGACCTCGTAGTCGAAAATTGGATCCGAATCCTCGAAAATGTTCTCGGAACTGGCTGCGCGGACAATGCCCTTCGATTGTTCCGTTTCCTTTTCCGCTTCATCTCCCACCATTTCCTCCTGGGCAGTCAGGAACACTACATCGTCTTCGCCTTCATCCTGAGCCGTCTCCTGCACTTCCACCAGCTCTTGCACCGACTGTTCCCCACCACTATCGGAAGCAAACAAATCCGGCGAAACCGATCTTCGACCCTTTTCGGAGTCCCTCGCATTTTCCGTTCTCTTAAGGGCCCTCACATGAATCGGAGCTTGATTGTTGTACTTTTGGCGATACTCTTCCGGGACGCTGTTCATATCTAACTTTGAATCCTCCGGATCTTCAAGCAACTCTTCACACTTTTCAACCACCGGTGACGGTCGCCATTCATCCTCATCGTCGTCTTCTTTCGCTAATCGCCTTTCAGGCGTTCGCTCCCGACCCGGAATCATGCTCCAGCTCTTCAACAGGTACCCCGCCCTCACCGCACTCATTTCGACCAGCGCTTCAACGTAGTAATCGGATAGGATTTCCGCACTGTTCGCGGGATTTTGACTCATCCAAAACACGGTGCTTCCATGCGTCCGCTCGTTCAGAACAACGTCACTACAGTCAGGAAACTGTTGGTCTAAATCTTCTTGCAGCAGTCGCTTTGCTTGTCTTCCCATGAAATCCACCACATCTTCCGGGTCCCGGCGGATCAACATCGTCGGCCGTTTGTGTTTGATCCTTTTCACATTCTTCGGTACGTTGCCAAATATCACATTCAAATCGTAGTCGGTGTAACTGTTCTTGCACTTAAACCCGTACTGTTCCAGGGTGTTCCGGATGCCCTGAATCCGTCGCTCCTCTGATGATAGAGAATTCGCACTGGAAGAAGCTTTCGGTTCTTCTTCTGTTTGTTCTTGGGATTCCTTCGAATCCGTTTGAGAATCGCCCTGATCGACCAGCGATCGAGACATGGCTAGGGCAATTTGAAACTGCTCGGGATCCAGCCTATCCATCAGAGTGTGCTCCAACATGAGGTTCTTGAGCAGCTCTTCATCGTTGTCCTTGTACTTTTGGAAAACCTTTCTGATGTCGCTTTGATTCTTGGGCTTCCGTGGAGCTCGTGGTTTCCGGGGGGCTTTGGCCTTTCGCTGTACCTTTGTCTTTGCTTTCGGAGGAGCGCCCTTCTTGACTTCGGACTCGAAGTCATCCTCGGAGATTTTGAAAAAGTTGCTAACGACTCCACCACCTTCCGGTGGTTTCTTCGGGAATTTGGGTAACTTTGACTTCTCTGGCATTTGGAGGCCTTCGAGGCCATCGAGTCGGGTTCGTTTTACGATGGGTTCATCTGGCTCTTTCGCTGATGGTCCTGCATCATCCGAGTCGGATAGATGAATTATTTCCTGTTCCATTCGCTCGATCGCTTCGCTTGGGGGAGTCTTCGGATGTTTCCTAGAAATAAAGTACAAAATTACACTTTGTAGTCGATCTATTTTTATTCCCGGCTTTGGTCTAACAATAAACTATAAATTATATCAACAGGATTAACAGATGAAGTAACCAAGCAAATTACCCTTCATTCTTCTCCAAGTCCGGTTGACTTCTGCTGCCAGAAGGTGACGGCTTGAATAGCCTTAACTTAGCGTACTTAATCTTAGTTCTACCACTGCCGCTTGCCATCTTCACTTCTGCTTCCGATCGGATTCCTGCTCCTCGAGCAACTGTCTGATGGAATCGCCTCGCCGGGGAGCAAGCAAACTGAACCGCATCAAATTCCTCCGATCAACCTCTTCGTCCGTTTTCTCGAAGAAGTCCCTTCGCATTCGCTCTTTCAGCTCGTCCCCTCCGAGGTATCTGAAAATGGAACTGGAGAAATCAAAATTCTTGCATTAATCAACCACCATCAACTTGCATAAGAAAATCAACTTACTAGTAAACAGCAAACGAGGTAGTCCCAATGGCCAGAACTGCCCAGGCGAACTTGTTACGAGTTTTGTTGATGACCGTGCCCTGAGTTCGTCGTGGTTTCCACCTAGTCGTATCGACTCCACCCATTACAAAAACAAATTTTCTGTACTCGCCCCTCTGCTGCTATCCGTCCGGAAACACTTTCCAACAATTTCACACAGATAACGACACAAAAGTGCAAACTTTTCCAACGAAAATCACAGAAAATCTACCGCGGAACACGAAATTACGTGAGCATTGCGCCGAACCGCTTACGATCAAAACAAACAGCTGTCACAATGATTTACCGGTAGACCCGATAGTTTGACTCTGTTGCCCGCCATACTCGCTCGAACGGCGACGCGCCAAAGGAAAATCCCGCCTGTGCGAGCGCGGGCTCCTTGATGCGTGCCACGTGGTTGCTTGCGTAGCGGTAGTTTTATTCGCGCGCTCCCATCACAGACATGCGCACTGAACAGGTCGTCCAAAGTGTCAAGTAGTGTCACCCGCGTTGCATTATTATTTTTATTTTTCCGGGAAAATTAATATAAAAGTAGTAGATAACCAGGTTGATAAAGACAATATTTATCATGAATAAGTGCAGCTGACCGAAGGCAGAGATGCGGATGCGATTGAAAAGTTCAACGAGCTTTACCAACGCCTCAACATCGGAAGGTAAATATGAAGCTGCAATGAAGTACATATGCGGGAAAAAATGTTCAGCCTGACAGCTCGTGTTTTTGTTTGCCATGGAAATATTGTACCTATAAGACGGTCAAGCGAACCGTTTCTTAAGTTCGAGCTCATTTTCCTCTAGACCACAATCACTGATCACACAAATGCAAATGATTATTCAACGGAACGAGTAAACCAAGACTAATAGTTGTAAATTGCATTGTGTGATGGAACCTAAAATCAAAACAATGCTGGAGTGCTTTTTGAATACGTCGTATGTAGCAAACGTAAACAAAGTGACATTTTAATGCTACCAGACACTACTCTGCATTTCTGTTTAATTTTTTCAAAAAACTCTCATTGGCCGTGCATGGTTACTCAAAGAGTAACCAGCTTCAAAAATTGATTATTATTATTCTTATTCTTTAATCAAACGTATCGATCTAAAACTACTCACCAAAATGTACAAGAGAATCTTTGAACGTGGATGGGCGATTACCTACTATCCGCTCATATGAGCAAAATTGCGCTGCAAACATACAAAATGAGAAATTGCCTGTTTTCATACAGATTCAATTTGCACCTTTAAATGTGGAATGAAAATATTCCAAACTCAGAAACCAAGGTTTGACAAAAAATCTGCTTACGAAAGTGCCTTAAAATATGTGAGCGCTCAAATATAAAATTCTACGCGCTCAACAGGTACAATTAGTTTGGTTTTATTTAGGCCGTCTTATCAACAATCAATACGAAACTAACGATTTTAAATTGGCTCACTACTTGACTAGCCTATTGGTCCCAAGAAAATCGAGTAACGTACCCCATTCTAATAGAAATTCTAGTACTACACTATGTTTGTTTTGAATAGCTATGAAAGTTTGACGTTCCATAGAGCATGAATTTTCAACAGTAGAAAAACAATAAAGTTAATGGTAAATGACTCAAGTTTATTCGGGAAAAAGTGATTTTCTGTACGGTTAAGATACATAACAACCCCCTTGTTCTATTGTAGATTTCCACATTTACCATATATTCTATTGTGGAAACTATAAATTCTATGGTTATGTTATCGTTGTTGACAATACAATTTATTTTAAGTACAATAAATTATATTGTATGGTTACAATACATTTCATTGTACCTGTATCGTTCTTTTTTTTACGGGTACACTGCTTGAGGCATGATGATTTGCTTTGAATTTATTTGACGTTGCGAAAAGGCTTAGCAAAGGGCGTACCATTTCTGATGACAAGCACAACGGCTTAACAAAAAGGGTCAATCTATACGCCTTTTTAATGCACCACCAACGTAGAGTGCACCACGCGAGTTCGAGAAGAAACGTCAACCAAACCGTTTGTTTACATTACAATAATTATTTTCCCCAACGCAAATAACAGCATTTTTCATTCAAAATCTTGCCAATTTCCATCGGTAATTGTCTTATTGTACGATTTTCCACAAATCTGAACTTATTTGCACCTTAACTATTCACACACAAGAAATCCAGAAGATCATAACCACTAAGGCACTTTTCTAATTTTCCATTTTTTTCAACAAAAATATTCCTGAACACCAGCAGGATCTTTTCAAAAACGTTACAGAATTAAAATTTTCAACTGTAGATTAATTTTTGCAGCATCTCAGATGAATCAATTTATCAGGAAAAGTAAAAAAGTGTTCCGCTTCCTATGTCTCAAGGCAAAAATTTATGCTCACAACACTCTTTTTGACGTTCTCCTATTCACCACCAGAGGTTGAATCGATCGTTTAGTTTCTATTAAAAAGGCCTATAGTGGCGGAAAAATTTAAAATTCATTATTCTGGTTTGTTTACGATTTGGACATAGGCCCATTTCAAATGTTACTCTAGATTTGACAGTTAATTTGGATGCCGGGTAATAAGATCAACATAAATTTTAGTTCAGTTTACTCATTAATCGCAAAAAGTGATAACTCATGTCGCAACATTCCGTATGGCGGCGCTAGTGTTTCTAACGTATTTTAATTTGAATTCTTACACATAACATTTCGAAAAATGTGTTTAAGCTTGGACAGTCACCTCCCCTGGGGATTTGTTCATAACAATAACCAGTCAAGACGGTAAGCTCCTCCTCAGATTAACTTTTAATTTCGACTCTGTTTAGATGATCTGCCAAATGTCAGCTTAGAGTCGTGTTCATTAACTGTCGACTTCAAAGCAGCTGCATATTCTTGATCGGGATTTAATCCAAGGATAATACCGATTGGAGCTTACCACCATCAGTGGTTGGTTGGTTGGTTGTCTTTATTAAGGGGATTTTCAGCCAGACGCTGGTTTATCTGCAACACCAGTGTTCTTACATACATAATTCTATTTATGTGTAGTTGAAAAAAACAGCGTTTTTGCACCGTTGCCAGGTTACCAGATTTATCTGGCGCTTCTAAACAGATTTTTTGATAAATCTGGCGGGTTCCCTGTGCTAATTTGCTGTGCCGGATGTTTGCCAGGCTATTTTTCGGATTTTGCCAAATATTTTTCAAAATAAACCTGGCATCCCTGGGTGTACGAATGCAAAGATACTTGCAACTGTGACGTTCAGTTTGACAGCTCTTTACTGGGTGCCCAGCAAACCATTTATGTTAGCTGAATTTTTCGGAAAAACAATATCGTTTACTGATTTTCAGTAAGCAATGGATTGCTGATTATGATCCAGCAATCCGTTTTACTAATATTGAACACTTAAACTTGGTGTGTAAATTAACCGTGATAGCACTGGATGTTAGTAGTGTTATTTGAGCATGATAACTTCTATAATCATTCATGTTGCATTGTCGGTGGTATAGCCAACCGGTCAACACTCGTGTTTATTTCAGTTACCGTGCGGACGTAATTTGTTATTAGCCCCGGTCCCTTTCAAACTGTATCATTATTTATGTACGGTCTTTATATTTGAAATGACGTTTCACATTCATCGATTAATCGATTAACGACCCGAAAAGTAAAATATTTGCAATCGGTTATATCGACAGTGAGCATGCATAAGGGCGAATACGCGATGATCGATTCTCTTCATCGATTTTCTCTTTGCATTGATACAGCTAAGCGAAACAATTTTCTAGAATTTGTTCAATGCAGAGTAGTAACAGGTTGTATTGGCTATCGAAAGCAACAGCAAACGCACCGAGAAACGGTAAATCTAGCGAGTTATTAACAACAAAGAAAATCGACGAAGAGAATCGATCATCGCGTATAGGCCCTTATGCATGCTCACTGTCGATATCATGAAGATATAAGCATTAACTTCTTCAGAGGATCATCACCGATCGTTTCAAACGTGTGCTGCACTCTCATTGGTGGAAAAATGACAGCACAGAATGGATGGATGAAAGGGACCGTGAAAGAGAACACTAAAATAGAAAGTTTTTCTTCCGACAGTTTCATCTTAGTATTCTTCTTTGGTATAGCCATAGAGGTAACTCTAAGACCAGAAGGTCCCGAATAAACGTGCTCAACTTTTTGGCTCAGCTCGGGTACTATCTTCGGTCCCAAGCTAATCGATGTACCCCTCGAGACATAGGAAAATCAACGAACCCCTCATTTTATCTGTCAAACTTTCATAGGGGTTAATGGATTTTCCTATGTTTCGAGGGGTGAATCGATTAGCTTGGAAATCCGACAACTTTTTGGCTCAGCTCTGGTACTCTCTTCGGTCCCAAGCTAATCGATTCACCCCTCGAAACATAGGAAAAACCAATAACCCCTCATTTTATCTGTCAAACTTTCATAGCGAATCAAAACAAACATTGCGTAGTACTAGAATTTCGACTAGAATAGGGTACGTTAATCGTTTGCTTTGGACCAATAGGCTACTAAAGTGGTGAGCCAATTTAAAATCGTTAGTTTCGTATTGATTGTTGTTATAACTCTGTAGTCTGAACAAGGCATTACTCAAAAGTGGTACATCGCAATCTTCTATGTTGAAAACTCATTGATTTCAAGAGAATTTCAAAACAATGTTATACCATAGAGGTAACTCTAAGACCACTGGGTCCCGAAGAAAATCATTATTATTTTTGGCTCACTTAGTACCAGAACAACGGTCCCAAGCAGTCCCAAGCTATTTCACTCACCCCTGCATGTTCTGCATGAATCCACACACCCCTGATGTTATCTGTCAAACTTTCATAGCAAATCAAAACAAACATAGTGTAGTAATAGAATTTCAACTAGAATGGGGTACGCCATAGAAGCAACAATCAATACGAAACTAACGATTTTAAATTGGCTCACCACTTTAGTAACCTATTGGTCCCAAGCAAACGATTAACGTACCCTATTCTAGTTGAAATTCTATTACTACACTATGTTTGTTTTGATTCGCTATGAAAGTTTGACAGATAACATCAGGGGTGTGTGGATTCATGCAGAACATGCAGGGGTGAGTGAAATAGCTTGGGACTGCTTGGTACCGTTGTTCTGGTACTGAGTGAGCCAAAAATAATAATGATTTTCTTCGGGACCCAGTGGTCTTAGAGTTACCTCTATGATAGAAGTACTTGGGACCAATAGGCTACTCAAGCAGTGAATCAATTTAAAATCGTTTGTTTCCACCCCCTGGTTATACCCTTCTTACAAAGAAGGGTATACACACTTAGATTTTTTTGCCGAGATGGGCACCACCGAGCAGCTCGGCATTTTATTTTGCTGGAAATTCAGCAAAAAATATGTTTGTTAGCTGAGATCTCGGCAAAATTCCCGTTTGTTAGCTGAATCTCGGCAAGTTTTTCACAGAGATCCAGTAAAATAAAATGCCGAGCTGCTCGGTGGTGCCCATCTCGGCGAAAAAATCGAAGTGTGTAGATATCACTTGAAAAACCGAGTATCGATCCGAGGCCCGGAGGGCCGAGTGTCATATACCATTCGACTCAGCTCGACGAGATCGGAACATGTCTGTGTGTGTGTGTGTGTGTGTGTGTGTGTGTGTGTGTGTGTGTGTGTGTGTGTGTGTGTGTGTGTGTGTGTGTGTGTGTGTGTGTGTGTGTGTGTGTGTGTGTGTGTGTGTGTGTGTGTGTGTGTGTGTGTGTGTGTGTGTGTGTGTGTGTGTGTGTGTGTGTGTGTGTGTGTGTGTGTGTGTGTGTGTGTGTGTGTGTGTGTGTGTGTGTGTGTGTGTGTGTGTGTGTGTGTGTGTGTGTGTGTTTTTTTTTTTTTTTTTTTTTTTCTTTTTTTTTTTTTTTTTTTTTTTTTTTTTTGGCAAGGAGGAAACCTTCAAAAAGGCCATCGTGCCACCGCTTGACGACTGGGCGCACAGTCGCGGTGACACGGTGTGTGGGATTCTTACCGCACTAAAACCTCCTTAGACGCCTTGCCCTTTTCCCCCGGAACCACTTGTCGTATTACTTCGGAGGGGGCCGTGCATTACGCACCTCACTTTACCTCAGCTAATTGGCGCTTCCAGTTCGCTGATCGTCTCTCCAATTTGTGAGCCATTTATCTCCCAGCGTCACGTTCTACTCGGTTAAACCCTGGTGGTGGATACCGCCTACTCTGACGGAGAGTTCTCCCGGCTTCGGCTTTCAGTTCGCACTTGTGTGAGCACAATACTACTTTCTAGTTGGTCTTCCCGCCATTTTCGCTGCAGCGCTGACATGATCTGCGTTACTGCTCTGCTGACGGCGTTAAAGGTGCCCACTTCTCGACACATTTCTTCGACGACATTCTCCGTGCTAAGGGCGAGCATATCCTCTCGCACATCATCAAATCTAGGACATTCGAAGACCACGTGCTCTGGTGATTCTTCCACATTCCCACACTCCGGACAGAAGGGTGACGTTGTGTGTCCGAACCGATGCAGGTACTTCCTGAAGCAGCCATGACCAGACAGGAACTGCGTCAAGTGGAAGTTGACTTCTCCATGCTTCCTGTTCACCCAGGTCGAAAGAGTCGGTATTAGCCTGTGTGTCCATCTACCGTTCTCTGCTGCATCCCACTCCTGCTGCCACTTAGCCATCGACTCCGTTCTCACCATTTTTCGTACTCCTCTGGTTTCTCTCGTCATATAGCACTGTGTGTGTGTGTGTGTGTGTGTGTGTGTGTGTGTGTGTGTGTGTGTGTGTGTGTGTGTGTGTGTGTGTGTGTGTGTGTGTGTGTGTGTGTTTGTACGTGTGTATGTGTGTATGTGTGTGTGTGTATGTAACGAAATGAATGCGCTCACGTTTCTCAGCAACCGCTCAACCGATTTGGACAAACTCGGCGCCAAATGATAGGTCTTGGGGTCCCATTGAACGCTATTGAACGGTTTTGGAATCGGTGAACCGGTTCCGGAGATATGGCCGGAATAAGATCCGGTGAATATGGGCCTTCACGCTGGATTTAACGGAAAACGTATCAAAACCATCATGCGACACATCAAATTACTAGAGAATTCAAAAATAAGATCAATGCAAGTCGTGTTAAGTGTTCCAGACCACATTGGACACACTTGGACATGTTCCGGGTACCCCGGGGAAGTTGCTTGAATATGAATTGAATTAAAACCCATTAAATCACATTAAAATACGATGATATTTAAGGTGATTGGTAGCCTCACCAAATAGACTACACCCGGATATATTCCGGGTACCCCCAGGCAGTGGCGTAGCGTCACTGGATGACACGGGGGTGGGGGGCTTGATCACTGATAATGACAATAAAATAAATAAACTTGAATAAGTAAGAAGGGTCTGATCACACCATAGGTGGATAAATTCGGGTTTTTTTTGCCGATAGTTTATACTATCGGTGTTCCTTTCCATCAAAATCTTCAACATATATAAATATCGGCTTTCGTCAGTGACGCACTAAAACCGGTGAGACCAAATTGTTTATAGAAAATCATCAACAACAAAACTGGTCTTAAAACGACCGTGCATCAAATTCCACCCCAATTCCTGCTCGTGAAGAAGAATTTTATGATAATTTAACGATCATTTTTTTTTCTTCGTTGACTCCACATCCGCTGGGGTGACATCGTCAGATGGCTACTAAGCCAAGCGTGCGGTACTCATACTACTCTCCGATCTCCGTTTAGCATTAACGGGAAGCTTTCCGTCCAAACAAAAACACGTTTTTTCTATACTAAAAATATTGGAAAAAGATATCAAATATAAAAACAAGATGTTCTTTTCTTCAATATTAAAGAAAATTTAAGGGTAAAAATATTTATTCTGGCACAAAGTTGGACTCAAAAAACCGAACAAAAGCGACCTGTCGGTAGTGGTCGAAGTTATAAAAAAAAAACCAAGAAAATCAGGGTTTTCCTGCGATTCTTAGGAAAACGGTGCAAATTAACATTATTTCTTTTTCATGGTTTCTTGGTATTTTATGTCCAAGAAAAAATGTTTTTTACAAGTATATTTTCTTAAGAATCACAGGAAAAATATGATTTTCTTGGATTTTTTATATAATTTTCTGCTATATTTATAAGAACTCAAAACGTAAATTTTTCGCCGGCAGCGGTAAGCTTCCCGTTAAATGCACTAGTATCATAGGCTACGATTGTGTACGATGAATCACTAGCCAGAACAACACGATAAAAACAAAACCAAAGCTTCTCCACATGTACTGTTTCAGTCAGAGGACTGGCATCCCTATATCAATCCTATACTTTAACAGTAGGCAACATCGCTGGCCTTATTTAAATACGGCTCGCATGACGTTTGGATGGTAGCAAAGGATGAAAAATCATGTTAGAAGCATAAGGACAAGGGCAGATGATAGCATCAAAAACATTGCCGCCAGTCAGTCCCCTGGTTTCTGTGTGGTTACAGAAATTTAAAATCCATGCTCCCAACAGAGTAGCGTGTAGTAGGTATACCCTCGGACCAACACAAGCGACTTTCGATGTTTCAATGAAGTTGCTAGGTTTCCATTATCAGTTGTGCATGTGTGCTTAAGTTTATCACTTCGCTCTATACACTACACACTTGATCTGCGAAAGTGATTGTCTGTTATTACTCTCTTATTATCATCGTTTGTTTTACCTATAACCTAGGGTTTGCAACAAATAGCTCAATTGTAATCAATCAAGCTAAACTGCTACCGTCGCGTAATGCATGGATGAACCTACACACAACACATACCCGCATGGTCCATTTTTACACCCCACAACGTGAATGTAATATAGATTGTGGAATAAATAATCAACGATAGCGCACTCTGTTGTCGTCCGTTTTGGGATACCCCAAGCAGCGCGCCGATCGAACCTCGCGGTCAGTGGAACGACGTCACTTGAGCCAATCGGGTGTTACTTTGCCATTTCGCGCTATCCTCTGCCAAACACGCTTGCTGGGATACGCCGGCTTCGCGACGCGGATAGTTTTTGCAGTTCTTTTTTTTTTTGCGCTTTGAATTTCTCGATCGTCTTCATAACGTATGGAGTGATCGCGATTTTTTTTTTGCGTATTCTTTGGCTCCGTTCGGCTTTCAAGTGAACCATCAGTAGCAGTTACATATATCTAATTGAGTTTTCAAATCTTTCCCTGTCGGTTCTGTGAACGTAAAACTCAACGAAACGAAACAACAAATAATAATAACAACAACCAATTACACCACAAATGGAATCAGCCGAGCGGTACATTGCATCGCTGGACATTGGTACAACGACGATAAGATGCTTTATCTACGCGGCGAATCGCGATATCGGCAAGCTGGAGGTCGTAGGAAGTGCCTTCGAGCAAGTAAGTTGAAGTGCAATAAAAACATCAAATGTGACAGCTTTTAAGTCTCGAAAAATTCTCAACATTTGTTTTTTTTTTATTTGTCGCGTTTGACCGTTACAACAGGTTGAGCTTGTGTATCCAGCGCCGGGACAAGTGGAGATTGTTCCGGATCAACTGTGGAATAGTGTGATCAACACGATCAAGAATGCAATGGAAAGTGAGTATATAAGTAGGCGTGTGCATGGCATATTAATAATGATTGCAAGTAGGTACATATGCATTGCGACATGTGATATATTTCGAGCGCACTATAGGGTGTGGTTGTGCCGAATTGTTGCTAACGATGTAACTGAATTCGGCTGTGACGGCTAAGCATTTGAGATCCACGATTAAAGTGACAAACTTATCTTATCGACCATATCATCAAATTTACGCTAGGAAAACGTCGTCAAGTAAGATTGCGAGGTCTCAATAACATCCGTGTAATACAGAATAAGTTGCACTCCCGTTGTGCAACGAAGAACCATGCGATCGTGTGAAAGAAAAACCGGATTGCTTTCCTTGTGGAAAAACCTGTATTCTCACGAAGCAAATGGAAGGAGCGTCTTCGCATCATTTCGGGTTGTGGTTTGATTTGTGAAATAATGATGCAGCCCCACCGAACATGACGGAGATTTTTTTTTAATTATCCGGCACAGTTTGCCGATCATTCTCAGAATGTTATGAAATTTTGCCCACAGCTAGATTTTATGACTAAACGAACGAAAAAAAAAAATCAAACAAATCAAGGTGGGTAAGTTTTCTGCAAAATTTAATTTGAAGTTTTCGGAATTTCACGGACATTACTTACTTTGAAAATTCATAGCTCATGAACCAAGCACCGTAGAAAGAACGTTGTGTAGTGACATTATATGGAAATTCGGAGCAATCTATTAAAAAATATACTCTGAGAATATTCTTCCACGAACATTTTCACGGGGGTCAGTGGTTTAAAAGTCTATTCACTCGATTATCCGGAGTCTTGATAAAAATTTCACTACGGATAATCGACGCACCCGGATAATCAAGCCATTTTTTTTCTTTGCCACATATCAAGGACAGTTTGAAAGATGATGAAAATTAATTGTTGTTGGTTTATGCGTCAAATCGAACGTTTTAAAATGATTTTATTCCTTTTTCCTGATGATGGTCACATATAGCAATAACTAGAAAACAACTTTCGAACTGATGTTTGGCGACCAATTTTCATCTCACTTTCTTCAACAATGCCTGAAGCCACCCACATTGCACACTGGGCCAGAAATGCAATCTAGCGGATCAAAATTAATAACTCCAAAACGAAGCATTTCCGCGACTTGGTGTCTTCGAAAATGTTTCTCCTCATAATAAGGACCATCTATTGACATAAACAAATACAGTAATGCCCCGTTTTTGTCAGCCCCCTGATGAATTTAGGGCTGACAAAAACGGGACACTGACAAAATCGGGACATTTTTTTTCGCTTAATTTTTTTAACATAATATCTTTAAATGCTGTTTGATAATGCAAGATTTATATTTTAGGAATCATTAAATATATGCCAGCCCATTTAGGGGGCGGGGGGAGCTGGAATTTCAAACTTTTCGTAAGTGTCATATAAGGAAAGACATTCTTACATTGATGGTGTGGGGGGGGGGGGCTTAATGGACTTAGGTAAGAATTGAATGGCCACTCAATGCATTTGTGGTTAAGCATTTTCTGTAAGAACAACAATAATAATACATAGTGCATAATAAAAAACTTGCATATGGATCCCATATTAAAATTCTCTGAATGAAATTTGTAGAGATTTTCACACACACACACACGCACACAGACACACACACACACACACACACACACACACACACACACACACACACACACACACACACACACACACACACACACACAGTCGTGCTATTCTGCTCCCAAGAAGGGTGACACCTTCTTGAAATGGCGAGTGGGCTAATAGCATAGAGGTAACTCTAAGACCACTGGGTCCCGAAGAAAATCATTATTATTTTTGGCGCGCTCAGTACCAGAACAACGGTCCCAAGCAGTCCCAAGCTATTTCACTCACCCCTGCATGTTCTGCATGAATCCACACACCCCTGATGTTATCTGTCAAACTTTCATAGCGAATCAAAACAAACATAGTGTAGTAATAGAATTTCAACTAGAATAGGGTACGTTAATCGTTTGCTTGGGATCAATAGGCTACTAAAGTGGTGAGCCAATTTAAAATCGTTAGTTTCGTATTGATTGTTGCTAATAGTGCGGCTGCCCCTGTCCCGGTAAAACCTTGGCAGGCCTCCAGATACGTTCAAAACTCGTCACCAATAGGCTCAGATGTAACATTACTGACTTACGCCGATCTGGCTCTGAACACGGCCCCCATGAAGGACCGCGTCAACCCTAGCATGGCTTCCCTGCTTGCATAGATAACCATGGGATCATCGGAGGGGGGGACCCATCAGAATGGAAAAAATCGGAGAAAAAACAAAAAAAAATATGAAGGACGACGGCAAGACGCCAGACAGTGAAAACGGAGGAGCGAACGTGTTCGCAAGAAGCGGAAAGCTGCAGAGATCACAAGCGTCAAACCAGGTGACCACAGCGAGTTCCAGTAGTAGCATACCCCAAGTGGAACAGCATGGACCCCAAAGAGAGCAGCTAGGTGCGGTGCCATGCCAAATATTCACACCGAAATCCAGCAGTGGCAAACAGCAAGAATTGCAGCTTGGGAGAACCAAAATGACGGAGGTTAGGAGGAAGATCGATGAACTCTATGTGTTCGTGAAGGATAAGAACAACATACACAAGGAGGTCAAGCTACTAGCGACGGTCATCAAATCCGGCATAGCTGTGGCAGATCGGGAACTGCAAGAATGGAGAAGAAGAGCTGAAGTGGCCGAAAAGGCTCTGCTTGAGGCCAAGGAGAATGCAATGCTGGCTGAAGCGCAGGAGACGCTGAAGGGACCAACGAACCCACGTCCGGAGAAAAGAGATAGGGAAACGCCAGGAGACGAAGAGAACCCCAAAAAACCCAAGGACGACGAATACGGGGACAAGGAGCAAGAAGATGGAGAAGACAGTGATTGGCGTAAAGTCGAAAACCAGAAGCAGAAGAGGAAAAAACTGAAGGAAGAGGAACAAAGGAAGAAGAAACAGAAGAAGAAGGAGGAGAAGGAAAAGAATAATGAAGAGGAAGATAAGAAGAAGAAGACGGAAGAGATGAAGAAGGAAGTCAAGAAGAAGAAAAACCCCAGGCATCGTAGGGAGAGAAGTAAGGGCGACGCTCTGGTTATCGAGGCGAAAGACAAAACGACATATGCAGTACTCCTCCGGGAAGTGAGAGAGGATCCGGAGTTGAAGCAACTAGGCGAGAACGTGGTGAAAATCAGGCGCACCCAGAAAGGCGAGATGCTCTTCGAGCTGAAGAAGGACTCGTCAGTGAGGAGTTCAGCCTTCAAGGAACTCGTCGAAAAATCTCTTGGCGAGGACGCGAACGTAAAAGCCTTATCGCAGGAGTCAGTGGTCGAGTGCAAGGATCTGGATGAGATCACAACGGAAGACGAGGTACGATGTTCGCTGAAGGTGCAATGCAATCTGGGAGATGTGCCTATGACAATCCGGTTGAGGAAGGCGTACGGTGGTACACAAACGGCGTCGATACGACTTGCGACGGACGCAGTTAACGAGTTGCTGAAGACAGGACGAGTCAAGGTTGGGTGGTCAGTATGCCCCCTGAAAGCTATCCCTCGGGTTCCCAAGCAAATGGAGAGATACTTTAAGTGCATGAACTTTGGTCACCAGGCGAGAAACTGCAAAGGCCCTGATAGATCGGAGCTGTGCAGGAAATGCGGAGAGAAGGGGCACGTTGCTAAACACTGTATGAAGCAACCGAGGTGCATGCTCTGCAGAAAGGAGGACGGAAACGGTCATATGACGGGAAGTTTCAGGTGCCCAGCTTACAAAAAGGTGATAGCGGGCCAATAGTAATGGAGATAACCCAAATAAATCTCAATCATTGTGACACAGCACAGCAACTGTTGTGGCAGCCGACAACGGAAACAAAGTGCGATGTTGCAATGATTGCGGAGCCGTATGGAGTCCCTCCCGATAACGATAACTGGGTGGCCGATAGAGCAGGGAAGGCGGCAATACAAGTTATGAGCAGGTATCCCATACAAGAAGTGGAGATGAGGTCTTACGAAGGTTTTGTGGTCGCCAAAATTAATGCAACCTTCGTATGTAGTTGCTATGCACCCCCGAGATGGAAAATGGAGCAGTTTTCACCAGATGCTAGATGGACTCACCGGGGAGCTCACCGGACGGAGACCAATCGTCATTGAAGAAGATTTCAATGCTTGGGCAGTGAAGAACGCATTCAACAGCGCCAGCTGGGAGGCCATCGCCGAAGCACTGCATGGAATGAGGGTTCCTGATTACCTGTGTACCATTATAAGGAGTTACTTCCAGAACCGGGTTCTAGTCTACGAGACGGACATGGGAGAGAAATCAATCCAGATCACGGCGGGTGTGCCACACGGCTCCATCCTTGGCCCAACGCTCTGGAACGCGATGTACAACGGCGTGCTAACGCTGAAGCTGCCCAAAGGAGTCGAGATCGTAGGATTTGCGGACGACGTCGTGTTGGCGGTAGTAGGTGAGACGTTGGAAGAGGTGGAAATGCTGGCAACCGAGGCGATCGACACGGTTTCCAACTGGATGCAAGGAGCGAAGCTGCAGATAGCCCACCACAAAACGGAAGTGCTATTGGTCAATAACTGTAAAGCTGTTCAGCGAGCAGAAATTAACGTCGGGGAGAACGCCATAGCATCAAAACGCGTGCTGAAGTATCTTGGAGTGATACTCGAGCAAGCTAAGACAAGCTAAGCTTCAATAACGACGAAGTCAACTTCCACTTGACGCAGTTCCTGTCTGGTCATGGTTGCTTCAGGAAGTACCTGCATCGCTTTGGACACACAACGTCGCCCCTCTGTCCGGAGTGTGGAAACGTGGACGAAACGCCGGAGCACGTGGTTTTCGACTGCCCAACATTTGAGACAGTGCGAGTGGAGATGCCGGCCCTTAGCGCGAGAAATGTCGTCAGTGAAATGTGCCGGGATGAGAGGACGTGGAGCGTCGTCAGCAGGGCAGTGACGCAAATTTTGTCGGAGCTGCAGCGAAAAA